TTATTATTATACTACTATATTATATATTATTAAACATTATTTATTTATTTATTATATTACTAATTTTATAGATACATAAATTATTTAAGAATTACGTAACGATGAGTGAAACTTCAATTTAGCGCTGTCATTTGCTCGCCATTAAACTTGTGCTAAATCGATTGTAGCTTTAAACTGAAAATCTCAAACAATAAAAATTATATTTAATATTGTGATATATACACAACTTTGACGTTGAGTTTGAAATCGCATAATTTGGTGATAACACTGATTTTGCAGTGCAAAATCATTCATTTAGTATTACAGATAGTAAGGGTTCTTTCTCTGTTTAATATTTATAGGGAAGATCCATTCACAAGTATTCATTGACACTATGAGGTAGCGCTATTTAGGAGAGCACTATATCGAGGTTTAACCTTATATGTTATATATTATATTAATTATAAATGTAATATAGTATTTTAATATTTGATTTGTAGACTTTTCGATGAGAAATGGACAGATGAAACTTATTTTAAAACAGATAAAAACATACAAAAAATATGTTTGTGTATAAAAATAATAATAATAATAATAATGAAGAGTATAAAATATAAGTTTTCGTTCTTTTATCTGCCAAAGGGCAGTGGCCAGGTCTGTTTGAATACGAGTATTGTTATAAGAAAATTCACCTTTATTCAAATATATAGCCTTTCTTTTGCCTTTGGGCAAACAAGCTTAAGAATCTGAAGTACTGAAGGCTTGGTCAAAGATAAAACCCATTATATTCTCACAACAAAAGAAAGTAAATTTGCATATTGAAGGTGGAAATTTTCTTGCATTTTAGAAACTTGTAACGAGCATTTTAAAACTAAAACTGTAGTCACTAATGTGTTTTTACGTAGTTAACTAACAAAAATACTGCCTTAATGTATGCAATTTTACGTTTTATAGTGACAAAATAATGTGAATAATTTCAGTCCATTAATTTTAGTAAATTTTAATTATTTGTTTGCTTAAAAAGTTTTAATAAATTCTCACTTTTAAAGCACATTTTAATCTATCATTTTAAATCTCTAGTTTTTTTTTAATCGTAGAATTTATGATTTAACATTATTATTTTGATATTTTAGTCTATTAATTAATATATTTCTTTATTTATTAGATAAATATTAGTATAATTTATACTGTTTAATCTATAATTAAACAATTCAGCAATATCTTTAGTATATATTATTTACTTAATAAACTTATCTTACCAATTATTTGATTTAATCTTATCTTATTTACTAGACAATGCTCATGTCGTTATACATCCTTTCTCCATTAAAAGTTGAGATGCCGTTCTTGACAGATTCTATATTAAGTAGATGAGAATTTTGACACATAATCCTCTTAAAACAAAATTAAAAATTAAAAATTTACTTTCGCACTACTTTTGAAAATTACTAACCAAATCTAATGCTCTAATTTAAATGAAAGATTTCTGAAATTTAACATTATACTGTCATTGCAGATTACAGTAATAAATTCTTCAATTATTTTAATTTTACTGATAGATGAATAAATTATTCAGATTGAAACAATCTGATAAAATAATTACTTTTCTAGCACCATCTGCTCCTCCTGTTGACATTCAGCTCGAACCACTCACGTCTACATCTTTTAAAATAACATGGCTTGTAAGTACATTATAGTACGTTGTACAGGATTCTTATTTTCAAATAGAAACAAGAAAATAAATAGAGTGAATATATTTTTATAGCCACCGCCAGAAGACTCCAGACAAGGTTCTATTAAAGGCTATTATTTGGGTTACAAAATACAAAGATCTGGAGAAGAATATGTTTACAAGACATTAGAAACATCGGCGAATCAGAAACAAGAATACATCCTAAACAATCTAAGAAGATCCACCCAATACGCTATTAAACTTCAAGCATTTAATAAAGCAGGACCTGGACCCGCATCCGATGATGTCTTGGGACAAACATTAGAATTCGGTTAGTATATTTTAATTAAATATTAAAAAACTATCTGTTGTTTAGTTACATAATAAACTTTCATAAGTTAGTTACAGTGGTAAAAATAATTTACTGATTACAGTTATTTTGACATTAGACTACAATTTTCAATATATTATCAGTTATTAAAATATTATACTTCTATTCCTGTTGGTATTATGCTGTCAATTAGATAGATCTTTTAAAGATCAAGGCGATACCTTTTCTAATCTCATTTCCCCAAAGACATTAACATTTTCCATTATAATCATATCATCTGTCATCTGTCCACATTTACTTCTCATTTTGTTGATACATTTGTCCACTCGCTTAAAGTGAAGCATGATGATATTTTAAAATCCAATATTTTCTGAATTGTATTGCATTGTTAATAAAATCGACGACATTTAAACAAGAAGTTAGTAAAATATTCTACTAAAGAGATTTTTCAAATTTTAAGTGATAAACTTACTGAAAGTGTAATAAATATTTGAAGAGAGACGTCACCTGTAAAGAAAAAATGTTATAAGACTAATTTTATAGATACATAAATTATTTAAGAATTACGTAACGATGAGTGAAACTTCAATTTAGCGCTGTCATTTGCTCGCCATTAAACTTGTGCTAAATCGATTGTAGCTTTAAACTGAAAATCTCAAACAATAAAAATTATATTTAATATTGTGATATATACACAACTTTGACGTTGAGTTTGAAATCGCATAATTTGGTGATAACACTGATTTTGCAGTGCAAAATCATTCATTTAGTATTACAGATAGTAAGGGTTCTTTCTCTGTTTAATATTTATAGGGAAGATCCATTCACAAGTATTCATTGACACTATGAGGTAGCGCTATTTAGGAGAGCACTATATCGAGGTTTAACCTTATATGTTATATATTATATTAATTATAAATGTAATATAGTATTTTAATATTTGATTTGTAGACTTTTCGATGAGAAATGGACAGATGAAACTTATTTTAAAACAGATAAAAACATACAAAAAATATGTTTGTGTATAAAAATAATAATAATAATAATAATGAAGAGTATAAAATATAAGTTTTCGTTCTTTTATCTGCCAAAGGGCAGTGGCCAGGTCTGTTTGAATACGAGTATTGTTATAAGAAAATTCACCTTTATTCAAATATATAGCCTTTCTTTTGCCTTTGGGCAAACAAGCTTAAGAATCTGAAGTACTGAAGGCTTGGTCAAAGATAAAACCCATTATATTCTCACAACAAAAGAAAGTAAATTTGCATATTGAAGGTGGAAATTTTCTTGCATTTTAGAAACTTGTAACGAGCATTTTAAAACTAAAACTGTAGTCACTAATGTGTTTTTACGTAGTTAACTAACAAAAATACTGCCTTAATGTATGCAATTTTACGTTTTATAGTGACAAAATAATGTGAATAATTTCAGTCCATTAATTTTAGTAAATTTTAATTATTTGTTTGCTTAAAAAGTTTTAATAAATTCTCACTTTTAAAGCACATTTTAATCTATCATTTTAAATCTCTAGTTTTTTTTTAATCGTAGAATTTATGATTTAACATTATTATTTTGATATTTTAGTCTATTANACTGTTAAAAAAAACGAAATGATTGGAGCAATTTAATTATGAAAAAAAAATAAAGAAAAACTAAGAATTATTATTTTAAAAACTCGAAATTTTATTTTTTAAAAATCTGTACAAAGTATCATTAGCTTATACTCGAAATATAATGCACGCTACTAAATGAGTGCGTGACTTTCGGAGAAACACTCATACTAATCAAGCATATTCAAACTAATTATAATCGAAGTTCTCAGCATTCCATTCACAGAAGAGAAATTCATTGAACTTTAGTATTATCGCCAATGGAAAGTTATGAAGGGTGCTTTCCTCAGAGTACTTTATCATTGGAAAAGTGCTACAAGACATTTAATGCGCATTTGTAGTCAGCAGGAGTAATTTGAGTTTAGACCATGCGACCGTGTTGAATTGGATTAGCAGTCGATAGAATGATAAGTATTTTACTGCAGCATGAAGTATAGTACCGATAAATACTGACATCTGTCAAAGAATCGATAAGTCACGAATAAGTAAGTCAACAGCAGCCTTTCTAGCTGCAGAGATTCTTTAGAATTCAACCACGGTAATGGCTCACACAATGGAATTACCTTTTCTGCTAAAAATAGATACAGAAGCGAATATAAAAAGATGTATTAAATATATATTTAAATAAACATAGTTCCAAGAAAAAGTTATATATATTTATACATACATATATAGTTTTTTCTCTCTAAATAGAACTTATATAATTTCCATCATTGTAAATAAAACTGTCAGATGTTTCTGTTCAGTTATTTTACAAAAAAATAGAATTGAAAAGACTGAAAGTTTGAATAGAACGGTTCTTCCAATTGACTGAATAGAAGTAACATTTCAAAACATCTAGTAGCTATTTTTCCTTCCTCTCGAATGATTCAATATTTATATTTTGATTGAAATATGATGTGATAAATTTATTTACTTTTATTGTTAGACGAGTGTAAAATTGAGTATTATAGATTCAATAAAGAAGGGATATTGTTAAAACACTTTTTATATTATTTTATAGGTTATTAGGAAAAGAAATATTTCTAACAGGTGAAAAAATTGTATTTGTAAACATTACTTTCCAGATCCTCCAAGTGCTCCTATCATCAAGAGCGTTTCCGCATCTGCTACAACAGTTCACCTAAAATGGGAGATTGAAGATAATATTCCAATAACAGGTAAAGATATTCGCTTCTTACCTTCTTTTCAATCTTATAAACTCAATAATTTCTGTATTTTTTTTTATCTTCCTTTCTTTTACTCTTTTATAATAAGTAATAGCAAAAAAGAAAAATAATTTTTTATATTTATTTTTTTACTAAAGCATATATCAATAGTTTATTTTTAAACTTTGCTATTTAAACGGAATAAATTTTACTTTATTTAAAAATAATTGCTTTCCAAGATCTTTTCTAAAGCAGCTAGAACGGGAGTTTTCTTATTTCAGCTGTGAGAAATCAATAATAATACGAGCATATATAATGGAATTTATTGATTTTTGAAGAAATCCTTAAATTATTCTCTGGATTTTAATATTCTCAATAAATTTTAAAATGTAGCACTATGAATTATATGAAAGAAAATATTAAGATTTCAAAATAATCTTTTAATCTTCAATCATTCCAACGCAATAGAATGATTGAAACTAATTATATTGCTTGATTAAATGGATTAATCACGCATTAAAACTCTTTAAAACATTTGCAATAGGAATTTATATGTGTTTTTTTTATATCAAGACTAACTTTCAGGAAAGTCTGCACCTATTTGACATCATTGTTAGGAATTCTTTTCTTTTGAATCCAAAAAATAGAAGAAATGCTTTTGTGTTTCTCTATTGATAAGACATTTGAAGTTTCCACAATCAAAATAAAAACTTATTACATAACTTCTGCCGATTACAGTATACAAACAACAATTATTTTTATAGATATTTTACAAAGAAGCAACCCACTTTTTTTTGCCCTTTTTTCCTTTAGAAAAAATATCTTTTCTTATATCTTCTTCCTGTATCTCACTTCTTTTATATCTCAGACTTGTTTATATACTGAACAGAAAAAAAACAGAATGTTTTTATTTATTCTGTGTTAAAATTTTGGCATCGCTACAGACTTTAATTCTAATTTAATATTTCTTTTAAAAGCATATTAAATAAAAATGAGTGATCTTAACGAGTAATTCTGTGTAATAACTATATATGAGTTTTCTCAATTGAAATTATCTTTTATTTATTTCATATGAAATAATTGTAAGAATTAATTTAATTAAACTTGCTATTTAATTTGAATTTTAAAAAATATTGCTTTACAAATTGCTAAAGTAATGGAAAGAGCTAAGTATCAGCAACGAGTTGCGTAAGTTTTCCGGCAACCTTTAAAAGTGTGAGTGGCGCCATCTGTTATGATATTTTATTTTTAAAAACTTTTTATGTTATTAATTATTATAAAATGGAAAAAACTTAATTTTGAGGAAAGAGATGAGTTTTATAAAAAAAATTGTAAATGCTAATAACGAAAAAAAATCTTTATTAAGACCGTCCCTACTCGAGGTATGATAAATGACCCCTTAACTTCTTAGTCCTTCGACCTTTAAGCACCAAAACTTATTAGCATTAATTTCCGTAATGTACAAACCTTCCTGCAAAATTTCAGATATTTTCGACAAAAAGCACAGTAGTTATTAAACTTCAAAGTGGGTGAAAAAATCGTGCCCTTTATACACATTCATACATTTAGAAAAAAAACCCAAAGTTTTTTGCACATCTCGACGTTTTAAGGTGACCTGAGTCCAAAAATGTTCAAATTTTTGAGGGGCACTTTTTGAGCCATCGCCATACTTTCCGTCTGTTAATATATAACAGCCAGAAAATTAAAAAGAATTACATTATTATTGCATACAGTAAGTCACTCTCAATTTCTCTATTTTTTTCATTTCCACTTTAAAAATCGCTTGGTTATATGCTTAATAGTGTATACATGTATATAAAGATACACGTATTCATAACTGGAGAATTTATATCCTTTTATCAGCAAGAATATCTTGTTAATTAATAATTATTATGTACACTAATGCATATTAATCTTCATATCTTGTGCGGTATAGTTGTGAAGCCCATTTAGTATAGCCCTTGCTCCTTTTCTTGCCCATATTAGTGTAATAATTTCCATAAATTTATAGAGCATTCATACGTCAAAATAAACAATTAGACTATTATCATTATTATAACTTCAAAATTAATAGATATTCTAAAGGAAACGTACTAATAAATGGTAACCTCTATAAATCAGGAATCTGTAAACTTATTTAATGTCACTAAATCTTTTTCGTGCTTGTATTCATGTATGAGTTTCGCCAAACTTAGAGAACACTGCAAAATAATTAGTAATTAATGTTATATTCAAAATTAATTAACAAATCAAACGAATAAGTTTTGTACTTATAAAATGCATTTTCCATTAAGCAATTTCTCACGAATGGCATACTTAAATCTAATGGACAATATCTTGATTCATTATATAAATTGTGTAACTAATAACTGAATAGTCACTTCTAACTCCAATTACGTCTTCAGTAACAAATCAATATCGATTTCATATATAATTATACATCTGTACAAAATTATATATACACAATTGAAAAGTGATAAATTATTCCTTTATTTTTTTAAATTTAACTAATTAGAGGAGAAAAATGTGAATAAATTATAGATATTACAAGCAAAATTCAAGTGCTAATCTCGAAAGTATAATAAATTTACTGTATCTCTGTAAATAGGAGGGTCAATAGAGAATTTAATGCTAGTAATCACTACCTAAATACTATAATCTTGTAGGAGTGACAAAATAGCAATTTGATTTAGCTTTGTAACCATAGTACTTAGTAAATTTATTGTTTCCAGATATTACGTATCAATAGATATATACAATACTCACTTTCATTCTATATTTATGAATTTGATTTATTAATTTTAATATATATTAAACAGTATACCTACAGGTTATTGGATGATATATGTTATCACTGAAATTGAATATATTACTATATGAAAACTTAGATTAAAATTATGAAAATCGTGCTGTATTTGTAATTAATACCATTATTTTAATTATTTTCGACTTTTCTAATTGGACAAAAATTATCTGTTTTATAATGATGTATTGAATTGTGTGAAAAGTAATTTTTAGTTAAGATTAATTATAAATTAGAGTTTAAATATAAATTTAATAATTTAAAAGTAATAATTACACTTCAGTATGTTATGAATTAAACGAAAATTGTACTCAGATATTAAATTTATTATATCGATTTTATAGAATGTATATATTTTGGGAGGAGTATTACCTCTTAAATACATGTACTTTTTAATTAGATTAGTTAAACACAGGCTTTATCATAGGGGTGCCAACAATACCTCAAAAACATTTATTAGAAATTAATTATTTATTTAATTTAATTGATTACATCAAGAAGGAAAACAAAGTTTTTCATTTCCGGTCAAAGTTTATTATTTAAAAATTAATAGAATTTTTTATGTTTGTGTATTTTAATATATTGCTGCCCTCAAGAAGCTAATTCCTTTGTTTTATTTGAGCAGAACTTCTGAATTAAACATAGTTCAACCAAAGTCTTTACAGTCTCTTCATCTCTGAGAGACTCTAGTTAAACAATGCATATTGTAACGAAATTAAGAATAAAATAAATATAAAAATATTTTAAATATTAATTGTAATTAGTTATATTTGAAAAATTAACCGCTATGTTAAAATCAATTCAAATAATTTAGTTAAAAATAAATTATTAAAATTAAGTTGTTTATATGTTTACCAGTAATATTGTATTTTTAATGTCATCAATAAACTTTCATTAAATAAACTAGTAAAATCTTACATAATTAATAAATAAATGAGTTATTTTCAAAATTAATTAGATTATTAATTTTAAATAAATATTAATTATATCATTAATGTTAAAAATATAATCATAATAATATATTTATTAAGCATTTAATATATATTTTTAATTTATTCAAAAGTGTTGAAGAACAGNTTAAAAAATATATATATATAATTTTTCTAAAATAAATAAATCTATGAAATTTATACACAACTATTAAAGTATCTCATCTATAATTTATCACCCTGAACGAAATTATATAATTTTAAGCAATAATAAATTTAATAATTTTATTTATGTAGTACTACTTAATGTAAAAAAAAAATTTTTATTGGAAAAATATAAGTTTTGCTTATCCTTTACTTAATGTTTGAAGTAGTTTTTAGTTAAACTAACGCGAGGTTAATATATAAAAGCTGAAAGCATTAAAATTTGTAATTAACAGAAAGAATAATTATACTGCTATCACTAGTTAGAGGCATGTACACTAATTTATCTTATCGCGATAATCACTGTCTCTCCTATCTTGATGAAGATAAAAACTCTTATTACAACTAACAACCATCCTTATTTGTCCATCACAAATATAAAATACCGTAAATCTTTAAACATTATTACTATTATTAAAAACTCAAAAAAGATGATAATAAACTCATTTAATTTTTATTCTGAAGACATGTAAATTACTAGAAATATAAAATGAATTATGTATAAGAAGAATTTTTTCCTTCCTTATATTTGAATTAAATAATTTAGTAAAATTCGTTAAATTTTTCATTATTATGTAAATAAATGCTTTAATATTTTATTAAAGTGAACGAATTTTTAATCATAAAATCAACTAAATAAAAGGAGGAAAAATAGATTTTAAATTAATAGAACAAAATCTTTATTATAGTTATATTTAGTAACAATTTAATTAAATGGAGGATTTAGTAATTTTTGAGGAAAATCAGAGATTAATGACAAAAATATAATATAAATATCAATGAAGATGTAAGGGTTTGTAACAACAAACACGATACCTTATCGACAATCATTAGAAGCGATCAATAGAGATTTAAATTCTAGCTTTTCGCGTTTGTTATATTTAATCCTCAAACATCAATCCAAGTTGTGTTCAGACTTCCATTAAGTTGTACGTAGAATGAATGCTGTTATTTAGATAATGAACAAACGGTATTAATAGTACAGTGCAATGATTTCAGAAAATGTAGCATTCAACTCATGGCTTTTGTTTTATTCAATACTACCAAGATAAATATACGATACTAAAATATAATAATTTTAAAAATAATTTATAAGAAAATGTATCAATATTTTATTTTAAAATGTTTATATTTATAAATCAAATTCCTCGTTAAATTCTTTACTTTAAATACACAGTATTCATTCACCTGATTAAATGAATATAAGGATGATATTGTGCTTTTTTATACAATTGACTGAGCTTTATCATTATTTATAGATAAATTTTATAGCAGAATACAGTTTCGATATAGAAACTTGACAAAGATATATCTTTAGAATAAAAAATTGTAAAAATCCCGAGTTATATCTAAGCTTTTCAATTTTATCTAAATGAAAATTTCAGGATATATACTGAAATATAAGGAGGATAAAAGTGATTGGAACGAACATCCGTTACCTCCAGAAGATTCTTCTTATATTTTAGAACAATTGAGATGTGGTACAAGATACCAGATACAACTTACAGCGTATAACAATGCAGGACATGGAGAACAAAGCGATACGTTAAATGTGAAAACTGAAGGAACTGGTAAGGATTTAGAAATTTTAATTCATCTTATCTAATTTTTAAGTTTAAAATGATATAAATAATAAAAACAAAAAGGATATTATTCGTTCGGAAAAATTGCTACAAACAGACAAATTCGAATCGTTTTATATTGAATGTCAAAGTAATCGTAAAATATGCTGTGCAAACAAATTCAATTTTTGTGATGTGAGTCATTTTTATACATTAAAATTTATGGCGTAGGACAAAACAGAGAGGTCATTTTTTTGAATAGTTTTATATAAATATATTTAGTGATTGACAGTCGTAAATAATATATGATTTATATCATTCTCGTGTTAAAAGTTCTATCAGTTTATGTAAATTGCAAATTTTATAAAGATATACATTCATTTTAATAAATTCTTATTTAAAGATGTATTAACTAAATATATCCATCTTTGAATAGCACTCAGTAAATATTTCATATCTAATTTGATATAAGCCGAAATGCATCAATTTAAATTGTATAACTGTAATGGATAACCGTATAAATGGAATAGAAGAGTATTAAATCTGTGTAATATATTTCGATCTAAACGAAGTGATTAATATTTATTAAATTTAAAAACGAAATAAAAAAATATGTTGAAAATCCATTACTGAAAAAAATACAGAATTTTAATTTACTATTTATACTTTATAAAATAATTATTGGTATAAAATTATTCGATTCATGATTAAAAATATACAGTTATATAAGAGAAAAAAGATAAAATCAGTTATATATCTTGTACAAGAATGGAAATATCAGTAAGAAAATAGATCCAAAATGTTAGCTTTAGTAGCTTTATATGAAAGAACAATAGCAAGTATATATTCTTATAAAGAAAAATTTCATATCTAGTATTTTATGAGACAGTAAACATGAAGTTTAATATATCTGATAATATATTACAAATGATCTATTTTCCTATAAAACTCTACAAAATTTAAATATTAAAAAATATATATATATAATTTTTCTAAAATAAATAAATCTATGAAATTTATACACAACTATTAAAGTATCTCATCTATAATTTATCACCCTGAACGAAATTATATAATTTTAAGCAATAATAAATTTAATAATTTTATTTATGTAGTACTACTTAATGTAAAAAAAAAATTTTTATTGGAAAAATATAAGTTTTGCTTATCCTTTACTTAATGTTTGAAGTAGTTTTTAGTTAAACTAACGCGAGGTTAATATATAAAAGCTGAAAGCATTAAAATTTGTAATTAACAGAAAGAATAATTATACTGCTATCACTAGTTAGAGGCATGTACACTAATTTATCTTATCGCGATAATCACTGTCTCTCCTATCTTGATGAAGATAAAAACTCTTATTACAACTAACAACCATCCTTATTTGTCCATCACAAATATAAAATACCGTAAATCTTTAAACATTATTACTATTATTAAAAACTCAAAAAAGATGATAATAAACTCATTTAATTTTTATTCTGAAGACATGTAAATTACTAGAAATATAAAATGAATTATGTATAAGAAGAATTTTTTCCTTCCTTATATTTGAATTAAATAATTTAGTAAAATTCGTTAAATTTTTCATTATTATGTAAATAAATGCTTTAATATTTTATTAAAGTGAACGAATTTTTAATCATAAAATCAACTAAATAAAAGGAGGAAAAATAGATTTTAAATTAATAGAACAAAATAATAATAAAAAACTAATAATCTTGTGTTTATTAAATGAAATTCTTTCTGAAAGTTAAGTTTAAACTCGAGTTAATAAGTCTGTAACTAAAAAAGACAAAAATAAAATAGAAAAAAAACTCAGTTTATTTAAATTTAACTTTATTCGATTCTTGTTCTACTTTCAATATATCTTTATTGCGTGCCCATTTAGTTGCATTAGTGGAAAACGTCCAAATTTGTTCTTTTACCATAATTAATGGAAACGAGTACTATCACGATTTTCTCTCCCCCTTATTTCATTATTTGGCATGTTCTCGTTTCCAAAATAATTATGTAGAGAAGAAACAAATACAGTCAATTTACCAAGTCTAACGATCGAACAAAACGACAGCTTGAAGTTCGATCGATATTTCAATGGAAATTGCAGTTGATGAATACTTATCTAGTCGAACACAAAATTTATTGTCTTACAACTAATGATAAAACTGTTTATTTTCAGCACCAGTAGCTCCAGACAAGTATTCATTTTTGTCCATTAATTCGACATATGTAATATTATATCTATCGGCATGGCAAAACGGCGGATGTCCTATTTTATCTTTTATTGTGCAATATAAACAACAAAGTGACTCTGAATGGTTTCTGGTATCAAATAATGTCCTACCTGAAAGAGGTGTGTTAATGTTACCAGATCTCAATCCAGCTACTCGTTACAATTTGCTCATGACTGCCCACAATGACGCCGGTTCTACCGATGCTGAATATGTTTTTGCAACTTTAACTTTAACAGGAGGTAAACAAATAATTAAGTATATTAATTATTAAAAATTAATCGATTTTTAAAAATAAAATTAACAAAATATATATGTCATTATAAAACTTCTTAGTTTGTAACTAATTTTAAGGATATTTTTAAGTATGCATTCTTTAATATTCTTCACTATTTTAAATGAATAAATTTGTTTAATAGAATAATATCCTTATAATCTGTCGATATTTGCATATAATTTGGGAATGGAAATGAGGATTATGAATATGTGATGATGGGATTTCCAGCTTTAATGAAATTTGTTTTAAACAGATTTGCAATCCTCTTATATTTTTCAGAAAATTTGATCAGTCGCCAATTTTCGTTGAAGCATCAGATCAATTGCCAAACTAGATGTGATTCTTTTGTTCTGCTATCGTGTAAATATTGATCAAGAAAGTAAATTACAAGCGTATTATGTTCCCTTTCAAAGAAGAAGAAATTACAAATGATACTTTCATTTTTAAACTTTATGTTCGATATAGATAGATATTTTAATTCGTTTTTTTTTAAAGTTTCAGAGTTGAAAAACTACTAAATTAAAATATAATTTTGTAGTTTAATGTGTTTTTTTCGAATTTCTATTTTAAAAATCAATTAGATTTTTTTTACGAACCAAAATTTTTACATATTTTTCGACTTGCGTTAAATTACATTCGAAATAATTAAATAAATTAAATAAAAATTTTATAAATATTTTCTTCAGTATGTAAATTGATTAAATTTTATATTAANTATTTTTTTTATTTTAAAAATATATAATCTTTTTAATTATATTTGATATGTTCGATTAATAGTTGCGTACAAAATATATTAAACACTCGGAACTCTCAGCTTTATTAACTTTAAAATTAAGTAAAGAATTTAAAATTAATTTATAAACTAATAAGTTTTTAAATAACATAAAAATATAAATAGTTTTTATAAATATTATTTTATATCCTCTTATATAATTAAAGTTTTTATACAATATTTTATATCAACTATTTAAAATGCATTGTTTAAAATGTATACTCTAATATAAACTCACATACAGAGGTAAATAAATGTATACATTTTTATAAATTCATATGTAAAAAAACACAACATGGCTTGAATGTCTTCTGTTGGTGAGTAGTTAGATTTCAAAATACAGCACAGAAAACTATACTTACAGGAAAAGAAAAAAAATTGAATAAAGACACATAATCTTGCGAAAGGAACATAAATACATTATGTTGATCAGACTGTAGACAAGAAAATGCAAACTGGCTGAGAAGTCTTACACACACACACACACGCGCACACACACTTATATACATACACCTTACGAATGTCTGATGGAGTTATATTTAATCAACTTTTCTATATTTATTCTAGGAATATAAAATAAAAATACAGTTTTCTAAAAATTAAAAAAAAATCTAACCAGAAATAACTATTGTATTTGTTTTTCATTTCTGTTATGTTTAAAAATACCAGCATATAAAAGACATGGAAGTTTTTAATAATTATATATATAATTAAATCGTTTTTATATGTATTATGTTTACAGTAAATATTTATTTTATCAAATAAAATTTGTCTTTTTGTATATTTTCAAATTGTATTTCTCTGTTAAATAAATAACTATTTCTGTGTTGTTTCTTCTGATGTTTTTGACGTTCGTGCTTTTACGGGTTAAAAATAATATTAAAATAAAGTTATTTTTTGTTGTAAAAACGCTATTCTAAGAAGTAATTTGAACGATAAAATTTCTTTTTACGGAATTTTTAATAACGTAGGTAGTATTACGTGAATAAATATGAGACGAATAACGTATACGTGCAATTTAAGTAATGAATTGATTTGCATTGAGATTTCGAGTGCAAGAAAAGGAAATTCTTTGTAATGATATCAGTAACATTAATACATTTTACCGATTCAATTATCTTTTAAGTGGTTTTCTGTTCAAATGTTCTGAACGAGTTGTTTTCCATCCGAAATAACTGCTTTCCCTTTGAATGTTGTGCACATCAGGATGTCTAGTTTAACGGGTCCCCAGATACTTGTGAGGAACAAGTAAGCCTTGACTGGATGCTGTGTAATTGCAAAACAACTCTCTCGTCACCAGTTACTGGAAAACGATGCTGTCAGATGCACGTTGGGGTACAGTAAAGCTACATTGAACGGTCAATAAGCTAGTTACAAACATCTTCTATTTGACTTGCTGCTTGCTAATCTTTCGACAATCTAATCAGACAATAATATATAGAAAAATAAATATTTCTCTTTTCTGTTCTTTTAGTTCTAAGCTTACCAATACACTCAACTATAAACATGAAAGAAAATAGTGTAGGTCTCCCTAAAGATTTAGTTTATAGCGCAGGATATATTTCTACCCTGACATAAAGTTTCTACGTGGCTTTTCGAAGTTAAAAACCATTGTCGACTTTTGTCTCATGGTTAGAAACAACAGATAATATTTTAAAGTAAATTTTTAATAAACCTATTTATATTATTTATCGGAGTCAGATAATGTAAAAGTATTCTTCAGAATTACAGAAAATGTTTCAGTAGAATGTCGTTTCTTTTGTTTAATTTCTCACCAATTTTTTATATGCAATTTTAATCATGTACTTCACGATGTTTATGTATTTATCAAAATATATCCATAAGTTATCTTCAGAAATGCATTAATATGAAACTTGAATTAAATGTAAAGTCTTAAATTTACAACACGTGAAGATTTTATATAAACTTTATTTTTTTTATAAAAGTTAACTCGGAGCCTAATAAAGTTATAAAGGTAGTACTTGAGGCGTAAAACGTGCTGGCTCTTGGAATTTTTACCTGCAGGATTTAGAAATTTTAACTTAATTAATTTAACAAGCTGTTACATTCAGGGAGAGCTGAAAAGTGTTGTTTCGATCTAGAAAACCAATCTTTCTTTAAATGTATTTTTTTAAACATTTAAAAATATACATCTAAAGAAATAGATATTAAAAAATCTATGAAAATTTTAAATGATCCAGAAATGTACTCAACTGCTGTATAGAATAGTATTGAACAGACTGTACATTATGTGGAAGCTTTTCTTTAAATTTTTATTTTTCATTCTTGGAAAATTCACGTCAGGAGGCAAAATTGCATTCTGATTCCATTGACTTTTGTACTTTAATACTAATTTGAATAATGCCACGTTATTCTCCCTTAAAACGGATAACGTTACTTCAAGCTAGCCTTTCTTCTCTGACGAATGTATACATAACGTATGCAAATCTTAAGCCCCTTCAGTAGCAACTTTTTCTTTCGCATCATTTTTGCTTTTACTATGAAGCGTTATCGCCTCGAGAAAAGAGTTATTTTTCTTCAAAAGATCGATAATGTTTAGGAAGCATTCAATCATCAGCTTTTAGCATTACTGCAAAGGAAGCTGATGAGAGAAAGTAGCCGCAAGAATAACTTAGTTTAACAGGGATACAATGTCAAAGAAAGATGGAATACTGTTAGAAACATCTTAATTGTTTTTGGAACTCGTTCAAGAAGTGCATTGTACTCATTAAGTTATACCCTAGACAACAATTATTATATATACTATTTATTTTTTTCTTTATTCTTAGGTACTCTCTTGACGTCATATTATAAGTGCATTTCTCTAAATAAATATTTATCTTAAGTATTTAAAAATTTTACAGCCTTTAATTTTCTTGCAGATTCAATGACCCAGACAATTCTTCTAAGGATATTAAAGCTTTTAAATAACTTTCATCAAAACTCACAAACCATTATTTAAATTGGGGAGCGAGCTATTATGATATTAATTTAAATAATGCGGAACGAGTTGTTGTTTTGTTATTCAACCATTATCTTAAATATTAGACGATTTTTAGAATTGGATCATTGCCATATTTTCATGAATGTATTCATGTATTTTTTGATGAAAGTTAAGAGATTATGCAAAGTTTCAAATTAGTAAATTTCATGCAATCACTAATCTTCCAAAATTAATTTCCTTCAAACTCGAAACCTTACTTTTTCTCCTAAGGATAAAAAATAATAATAATAATAATAATGAAGAGTATAAAATATAAGTTTTCGTTCTTTTATCTGCCAAAGGGCAGTGGCCAGGTCTGTTTGAATACGAGTATTGTTATAAGAAAATTCACCTTTATTCAAATATATAGCCTTTCTTTTGCCTTTGGGCAAACAAGCTTAAGAATCTGAAGTNCAATTGATTAATGTTTTAATTTTTAGTTAAAGGTTGAAGAATTCATTTTTCGTAAATATCTTAATTAATCTTATTTTTATTGTATTCGTGAATAAAATAACAATTAATTTCAACTTATACAATATTTTGTAAAAAATTTATTATTATTAAAATGTATTTTGGATTTATTTTTAATTTTAATTTATTTCGACATTAATTAATATTAATATTAAAATAACCGAAATTTTAATTGATAATTAGAAATATATTTTTAAAATTTTATTTCTGTTTAATTCGAAGATTACATGTAAATTAATTAATAAATGTATTTAGTGGATAAATAAATATTATTTTAGAAATTAATTTTATAGTTTGAAAGCGATAAATAAATATTTTTTAATGTATCTATTCTCTTTACTAAAAGGAAAAAGAAAAATAAAAATTATATTTAAAATAGTAATTTATATAGAATTAAATTATTTGTAATTACATTTATTCAAATTTTATTAATATTTAGTTTAATAGAGCATGTATAATGAAATTTATCCATTAGATGTAGCTTACAAATTGATTAATTTAAGTATACACGCCTTATCATCTCTAATTTTTTTAACGTTTATAATGGTTGTTTACGAAGCTAATAAATATAATAATTATTGTACATTATACCAGGTTATAATTATAAGCTATTAATAATGCTTCTATAACTCTTTAGCAACTATACCTCCCCTGATACCACAAATTGGTACAGATCGCAGACTTTACAAGCATCTGAGTATTATAGTTCCAGTAGTTTGTGCCGTAGTTATCGTTATCGTCGTAACGATTGTTATTTGTGTACTGCACACTAAACGGCATCAACCAAACAGAGTGAGAGGACCACATGACCAAGGAGGTAATTAAAACCATTTAAAACTTGTTCTAGATTTATTCGTTTGTACAAAATCTCGCCTTATTTATTATACAACCAATTAATGGAAGTGTAAAAACTAAAAAAATAAGAGAAGGTGAATAATTGGGACATAGCCAAACCCTTTAAAACTCCATTTCAATAAGGTTACCAATCCATCAAGTAACTTTACATAGAGAAAATCTCGCCAAATTTGTTAGTGGTACCATAATTATAGTAATTACTTAAAATATGTTACATTTTTGCGGTTGTATTAGATAATTTTCAGCAATTAATTAACTTCTAATTGATTCGAAACTTTGTTAATATTTATTGTGTTTCGTGTTTATTTAATACACTTAAATTTCTCCTAAATTTGAAATTTAAACAGGCTTAAATTTTCTTCTTTCATTTCAATCTAAGATGGTGGAATTTTTATGCATCTTATTTTGTTTTTTATATACAAAAGCTCATTTATATTCTATTTATCTTATTTATTTTTAACTAATGCTTTACTTTTAATTAAATTTAAATAGATTTATTTGAGGTTTCTGAAATTGTAAATCTGATTTTAAAACGCTAACTTCATGATTTCATCGTTAAGTTTTTCAATGTATGATGAAAACTGTATACTAATATCGATTTTATTTATGACAATATATGAACAGTCCCTTTAGTTATTAAGTATCCACTTTTCCCATTTTCTACAGTTCAGTTTATTGCTTGCCATGATCGTATCATTTGCTTATGGCCTATTGAGATTTTCCTGATACTTATAATTTATCTTCACTTCATATTTACCTCAAGCTATATTCAAGTGAATTTAAGGAAATTTTTTCAACATCTATCTATCCCTTTCAATAAAAGTTTCGTTGTTTATAAAATTTACATGGTTTTGTAATTATATTTATACTGTATTTTAATTAGAATTGTAAATTGCATAGACAGATTTATACTAAATATATCCTATTTTCAGTTTGAATGTTTTATAAGATATTTTTAATAAAAGAAATTCTTCACTTCTATGAATTTAACTTATAGCTTTTCTGAATAAGTTCTATGTTTTCTGAAATTTACTAGCAACAAAAGTGAATATTCAAATCCGAAAGCTTTCAAATGTATTACTGATTTTACTTCTCCATTCCATTTCTTCAATTATGTTGTTACTGCATGTTTCTTTTTTGTTNAAAATTAAAAAAAAATCTAACCAGAAATAACTATTGTATTTGTTTTTCATTTCTGTTATGTTTAAAAATACCAGCATATAAAAGACATGGAAGTTTTTAATAATTATATATATAATTAAATCGTTTTTATATGTATTATGTTTACAGTAAATATTTATTTTATCAAATAAAATTTGTCTTTTTGTATATTTTCAAATTGTATTTCTCTGTTAAATAAATAACTATTTCTGTGTTGTTTCTTCTGATGTTTTTGACGTTCGTGCTTTTACGGGTTAAAAATAATATTAAAATAAAGTTATTTTTTGTTGTAAAAACGCTATTCTAAGAAGTAATTTGAACGATAAAATTTCTTTTTACGGAATTTTTAATAACGTAGGTAGTATTACGTGAATAAATATGAGACGAATAACGTATACGTGCAATTTAAGTAATGAATTGATTTGCATTGAGATTTCGAGTGCAAGAAAAGGAAATTCTTTGTAATGATATCAGTAACATTAATACATTTTACCGATTCAATTATCTTTTAAGTGGTTTTCTGTTCAAATGTTCTGAACGAGTTGTTTTCCATCCGAAATAACTGCTTTCCCTTTGAATGTTGTGCACATCAGGATGTCTAGTTTAACGGGTCCCCAGATACTTGTGAGGAACAAGTAAGCCTTGACTGGATGCTGTGTAATTGCAAAACAACTCTCTCGTCACCAGTTACTGGAAAACGATGCTGTCAGATGCACGTTGGGGTACAGTAAAGCTACATTGAACGGTCAATAAGCTAGTTACAAACATCTTCTATTTGACTTGCTGCTTGCTAATCTTTCGACAATCTAATCAGACAATAATATATAGAAAAATAAATATTTCTCTTTTCTGTTCTTTTAGTTCTAAGCTTACCAATACACTCAACTATAAACATGAAAGAAAATAGTGTAGGTCTCCCTAAAGATTTAGTTTATAGCGCAGGATATATTTCTACCCTGACATAAAGTTTCTACGTGGCTTTTCGAAGTTAAAAACCATTGTCGACTTTTGTCTCATGGTTAGAAACAACAGATAATATTTTAAAGTAAATTTTTAATAAACCTATTTATATTATTTATCGGAGTCAGATAATGTAAAAGTATTCTTCAGAATTACAGAAAATGTTTCAGTAGAATGTCGTTTCTTTTGTTTAATTTCTCACCAATTTTTTATATGCAATTTTAATCATGTACTTCACGATGTTTATGTATTTATCAAAATATATCCATAAGTTATCTTCAGAAATGCATTAATATGAAACTTGAATTAAATGTAAAGTCTTAAATTTACAACACGTGAAGATTTTATATAAACTTTATTTTTTTTATAAAAGTTAACTCGGAGCCTAATAAAGTTATAAAGGTAGTACTTGAGGCGTAAAACGTGCTGGCTCTTGGAATTTTTACCTGCAGGATTTAGAAATTTTAACTTAATTAATTTAACAAGCTGTTACATTCAGGGAGAGCTGAAAAGTGTTGTTTCGATCTAGAAAACCAATCTTTCTTTAAATGTATTTTTTTAAACATTTAAAAATATACATCTAAAGAAATAGATATTAAAAAATCTATGAAAATTTTAAATGATCCAGAAATGTACTCAACTGCTGTATAGAATAGTATTGAACAGACTGTACATTATGTGGAAGCTTTTCTTTAAATTTTTATTTTTCATTCTTGGAAAATTCACGTCAGGAGGCAAAATTGCATTCTGATTCCATTGACTTTTGTACTTTAATACTAATTTGAATAATGCCACGTTATTCTCCCTTAAAACGGATAACGTTACTTCAAGCTAGCCTTTCTTCTCTGACGAATGTATACATAACGTATGCAAATCTTAAGCCCCTTCAGTAGCAACTTTTTCTTTCGCATCATTTTTGCTTTTACTATGAAGCGTTATCGCCTCGAGAAAAGAGTTATTTTTCTTCAAAAGATCGATAATGTTTAGGAAGCATTCAATCATCAGCTTTTAGCATTACTGCAAAGGAAGCTGATGAGAGAAAGTAGCCGCAAGAATAACTTAGTTTAACAGGGATACAATGTCAAAGAAAGATGGAATACTGTTAGAAACATCTTAATTGTTTTTGGAACTCGTTCAAGAAGTGCATTGTACTCATTAAGTTATACCCTAGACAACAATTATTATATATACTATTTATTTTTTTCTTTATTCTTAGGTACTCTCTTGACGTCATATTATAAGTGCATTTCTCTAAATAAATATTTATCTTAAGTATTTAAAAATTTTACAGCCTTTAATTTTCTTGCAGATTCAATGACCCAGACAATTCTTCTAAGGATATTAAAGCTTTTAAATAACTTTCATCAAAACTCACAAACCATTATTTAAATTGGGGAGCGAGCTATTATGATATTAATTTAAATAATGCGGAACGAGTTGTTGTTTTGTTATTCAACCATTATCTTAAATATTAGACGATTTTTAGAATTGGATCATTGCCATATTTTCATGAATGTATTCATGTATTTTTTGATGAAAGTTAAGAGATTATGCAAAGTTTCAAATTAGTAAATTTCATGCAATCACTAATCTTCCAAAATTAATTTCCTTCAAACTCGAAACCTTACTTTTTCTCCTAAGGATAAAAAATAATAATAATAAAATAATTTCGTCTTTTTAAAAAGAAATTATTTTTAAATTAAATTATCGTGTTTTTTTTTTCAATTGATTAATGTTTTAATTTTTAGTTAAAGGTTGAAGAATTCATTTTTCGTAAATATCTTAATTAATCTTATTTTTATTGTATTCGTGAATAAAATAACAATTAATTTCAACTTATACAATATTTTGTAAAAAATTTATTATTATTAAAATGTATTTTGGATTTATTTTTAATTTTAATTTATTTCGACATTAATTAATATTAATATTAAAATAACCGAAATTTTAATTGATAATTAGAAATATATTTTTAAAATTTTATTTCTGTTTAATTCGAAGATTACATGTAAATTAATTAATAAATGTATTTAGTGGATAAATAAATATTATTTTAGAAATTAATTTTATAGTTTGAAAGCGATAAATAAATATTTTTTAATGTATCTATTCTCTTTACTAAAAGGAAAAAGAAAAATAAAAATTATATTTAAAATAGTAATTTATATAGAATTAAATTATTTGTAATTACATTTATTCAAATTTTATTAATATTTAGTTTAATAGAGCATGTATAATGAAATTTATCCATTAGATGTAGCTTACAAATTGATTAATTTAAGTATACACGCCTTATCATCTCTAATTTTTTTAACGTTTATAATGGTTGTTTACGAAGCTAATAAATATAATAATTATTGTACATTATACCAGGTTATAATTATAAGCTATTAATAATGCTTCTATAACTCTTTAGCAACTATACCTCCCCTGATACCACAAATTGGTACAGATCGCAGACTTTACAAGCATCTGAGTATTATAGTTCCAGTAGTTTGTGCCGTAGTTATCGTTATCGTCGTAACGATTGTTATTTGTGTACTGCACACTAAACGGCATCAACCAAACAGAGTGAGAGGACCACATGACCAAGGAGGTAATTAAAACCATTTAAAACTTGTTCTAGATTTATTCGTTTGTACAAAATCTCGCCTTATTTATTATACAACCAATTAATGGAAGTGTAAAAACTAAAAAAATAAGAGAAGGTGAATAATTGGGACATAGCCAAACCCTTTAAAACTCCATTTCAATAAGGTTACCAATCCATCAAGTAACTTTACATAGAGAAAATCTCGCCAAATTTGTTAGTGGTACCATAATTATAGTAATTACTTAAAATATGTTACATTTTTGCGGTTGTATTAGATAATTTTCAGCAATTAATTAACTTCTAATTGATTCGAAACTTTGTTAATATTTATTGTGTTTCGTGTTTATTTAATACACTTAAATTTCTCCTAAATTTGAAATTTAAACAGGCTTAAATTTTCTTCTTTCATTTCAATCTAAGATGGTGGAATTTTTATGCATCTTATTTTGTTTTTTATATACAAAAGCTCATTTATATTCTATTTATCTTATTTATTTTTAACTAATGCTTTACTTTTAATTAAATTTAATTATTAAATGCGATATTAAGTTTCACAAAAATTTATATTTTATAACTATTTAAACAATTTTTCAAAGTATTTAAAATTATAAATTTTTAAGAAGAAATGGTAACAAACGCATATTTTTACAACTCCTTTCTTATTATTTTTTTTGCCTTTTCGTTGTTTAAAGGTGACAACTAAGTTTATATTTTTAAAAAATAATAGAAAAAAAGAGGAGCTGTTCGAAAATTCACTTTCAGTGTATTTAAAAGAAAGCTTCACCTCATGAAATTTTAAACAGAACAGGCATTGACCGGGTTAAAGTTATTTCCACGAATAGTCGGCCATGAAATTTAATTGTGCAAATGAAGTTTAAGGAAAAATCTTGTTGCAAGATAGAAGAAAAATTTTTTCTTTTTATATTGTGGAATTTAATTTAACATTCATTAGTAAAAATTCCTTAACATAAACTAAATAGAGAAGTGGATTTGATTAAAAAATAAAATTTTATTAATGTTTAAATTCTAAATTTTTTACTTTTTTATAATGAGATAACTTTTAATTCGAATTTTTCACATATATTTTAAAATAAACATTGAGTCATATGAATTTCCCTACACCTTTTGTAAAATTTATAAGTTTAGTAGACCTATATACATAGAATATATTCCTGATTTGAATTATTTCATATGCATTTCTTACTTTAAGAAACTCCCTAAGCTAACTTTTTTGAATTTTTATATAATCCTTATTTATAGTTCGATTTTAAATAGTTTTGAAGAAATTCTGTTAAGGAAGCACAGAATAAATTTTCTTATTTGTTTATTTAAAAATTTTTATAATGGAGACTATAAATCTAACTTTGATTTGTGGATATTTTACGCACAATGAATGATTGAGTACTATTAACGTTTTGAAAATCATATAATTTATATAAAACACGCAATGAACTTAGAAAAAAGTTAGACCTGCGATCTTTTATCAAATTTTATCATGCAGATTATTATACTGATATGAATTTTGATACGTTTCATTCACGATACACTTAGTATATAAATGAAAATTGTAAGTATTAAACATTCTATANCGCTCTTATCTTCTTTTTATGTTTTATAAATAATTATTTAAAAATAAAGATATTCGAAGTAGAAAGTTTATTCTGTAATTTATCAATTTATGAAGATTTAGTGGAAAATATTTTTAATCATGCTTTTAAAAAGTTTTTTCCTCGTTTAAAAATCTCATCGATATAAAATAAAATTAGGATCTTGTTCCATTATGTTATTGATGAATGTAGCTTCCAACGGAAACAATACATCAAAGCAAATGGCTCATATAAGCCCCTGCAAACAACCATTTCGAAACTGCAAACATGAAGAAAGGGAAAACATTTATACATAAAAATAAAAAATAAAAATTTCTAATAAGAGTGATGGATTCAAATGTATGATAAACTATAATCTTAACTAGAAAGAAAAATTGGAATGTCAAAAACCGGAACTCATCCTTCATTTTACTGAATTAAAAATAAATATTAAGGATTTTCATTTAAATATTTTATTTCTTATAAGGTGTTTATTGTTTTTTTTATTTATTTACTTAATAATTTTTATTATAATCGAAATATCAGCAATATTAAAGTATTAGATCCCATACAATTTAATATCACGTAGTCTGAGTTATTACGCTTCATCGTGATGCTTCTATTACGAAACTTCTTTATGGTGTAATAAAGTTATAATGCATCTTGATAATAAGAAGTTTCGGCTGTTATAATTATTATTTCTTTCATAAACGGCTAAATAAATAAAAAAAAACATTGGAAAGTTTTTGTTTAGGATCTAATAATTTTCGAAAAATTCCGGAGAAATATGCGTATAATTATATTTTTATTGTTTGTTCTATATTATTACTGTAATAGAATGGATGATGTAAAGGAATGTTTTGGTTTTATACTGTTTAGAACTGTATTTTTAATAAAATTTAGGAGACAACCAGTGTCGACAGGTTCAGAAAGGAGATACGCTTTCCATGACAGTTATGGGTAAGAAACCTCACGGAGGTACAACTTATGAAGTGCCAAAAGATTTTGTTTATTTTCCTTCACCTTATGCTACAACTCGGGTACCTGGATGTCCTATAGATGACGTTAGCGAATGTGATAGTCTTCATTCAAGTCGGACTCCGAGTGAACCACACGGAAGTCATACGTATGATGTTCCTTTTCCAGTCAGAAAGGTAAAAATACACGTATAAATAAAATATATCAAAAACTTTTAGTTTATGCTTTCTTTTGCTAACAGATATTATTTTAAGGCAAGACGTTTTTGCAATAAAGTTAATTTTTTCTTTTAAATTTTATTCCGTTTAATATATTTAACATTTCAATTCTAACGATGAAATAATATAACAAAATTTGAAAATATAAACGTTTCTTCTAAATTTATTAAATTTTTAATGTTTTTTAATACAAAATCTTCTTATTTTGTGGCTTAATTACTTACTTCTATTCTCATTTATCTTTAATTTATAAAATTTTTATTCAGTTTTAGTTATTCGCCAAATTTTTCTCAAATTATTGTCAAGACATCAAACGTTTTTTTCTTTAAATCAGTTTATTCAAAATTTGTGAGTTAACACAATGATTTATTTAATAGCCGCTATGTTTTCTAGTGTTTATCATAAATATGAAAACTTTCCCGCGAAGAAACGCCTAAGTGTTACTAAACATTTAAAATTTATATTAACTTAAATGTTAAATTATAATTGTAAACAATTCTTTTTGTCAAGTTTGGATAGAAAATTCGCAAACCATTTTAATTGAATGGTTCATTTTCTGCTTACATAGGTAAAAGCAATATTAGGTTTTGTTTCAGATTTTCTAACTCACTAGAGAATTCCCTAACTTCACTAAGTAATTAGATAACGATTTTGCCTCTTTTCTCCAACATCAGCTTGCATCTGCACTGACTTCTAACTTCCTACTTTTTTCGATCATAAACCAATTTATAGTTCGTTGTATCTTTTGAATCCGCTATATATTTTTTGCATCATTTCTTTACTTATTTATATTATTTACAATTGGCTAATTTGCTTGAGTTATTGCTGCATTTGAGTGTAATAAATGCAAAAGAAACAGCATTTTCTTTCAATTTCTTTTCGAAATTCGACAGAAACTTAGAGATATATATACTGTATATCAAGATTTTAGTATGAGAGGTAAGCTATTTTTAGTGAATTACATTGAAGAAGTTCGAATTTTTCTAGTATTCTTTCCACATATTTACTTTTCAATAGCTTAAAATCTTTAGGGGTTTTCTAAATTTCTTCTTTTAAAAAATACATTTGCTCTATGATTTCTTTTAAACGAAACGTTTTTTTAAATAACTTTTTAAAACATGAATATTTAACAATTTTATTTAATCTCTGGTAATACATATATATATATANTATATATATATATATATATTATATATAATATATTATATATTATATATAATATATAATATACAAATTACAGAATACAGAATGTATATTTGTATTCTGTACAGTATATTAATAAAAGATTTCAGTTATAATATAATGCAGTGATTTATTTATAATTTTTCATTGATATATAAATTATATAGTTATATATCGATATAGCGGTGTCCTAAATGGCACCATCTTTATAAAGCGACAATACTTGAGGACGAATCTCTTTCATTCATAAATATTAAATAAATAGCCTTCAGTATACAAGACTTACTAAATGTACAATTTTACATTGTACAGTTTTCTACATTGTGATAAAAATCTCGAGACTTTCAAACACAAAATAATTTAAAATGTGTGCATAGAATTCACTATTAAATATTAATTTTTATTGTTTGAGATTCTTCAGCTTATTGCCACATTTAGTTTGATGAAAATTTGAGAGGCAACGTTTATTTTTGTATAATAAACATTAAACATTAATTTAAGAGTCGAACATTAAAAATTGAAATTCTATGAATATATATAATTTCAATTTTTAATATATATATATATGTATACATTGATATCATAGAAAATAATATACAGTACTGTACATATAGAACATATACTTAAGTATTTGCAATATTCATTTGTAGTCATAAAATCTTCAATTTTAAAAAAAGCTATATAATAATTTGTATATAAAAATATTGTATGAAAATGTAACAACATTTCAATAACTGTATTTAAATTTAAATAGATTTATTTGAGGTTTCTGAAATTGTAAATCTGATTTTAAAACGCTAACTTCATGATTTCATCGTTAAGTTTTTCAATGTATGATGAAAACTGTATACTAATATCGATTTTATTTATGACAATATATGAACAGTCCCTTTAGTTATTAAGTATCCACTTTTCCCATTTTCTACAGTTCAGTTTATTGCTTGCCATGATCGTATCATTTGCTTATGGCCTATTGAGATTTTCCTGATACTTATAATTTATCTTCACTTCATATTTACCTCAAGCTATATTCAAGTGAATTTAAGGAAATTTTTTCAACATCTATCTATCCCTTTCAATAAAAGTTTCGTTGTTTATAAAATTTACATGGTTTTGTAATTATATTTATACTGTATTTTAATTAGAATTGTAAATTGCATAGACAGATTTATACTAAATATATCCTATTTTCAGTTTGAATGTTTTATAAGATATTTTTAATAAAAGAAATTCTTCACTTCTATGAATTTAACTTATAGCTTTTCTGAATAAGTTCTATGTTTTCTGAAATTTACTAGCAACAAAAGTGAATATTCAAATCCGAAAGCTTTCAAATGTATTACTGATTTTACTTCTCCATTCCATTTCTTCAATTATGTTGTTACTGCATGTTTCTTTTTTGTTACTAGTAAAGGATTTTTCGATGTAAACTTACATTCTTTGCCGTTAGTATAAGCCTATATATTCGGTTTTTTTTTCTTTTAAAGTTTATGGTTATTTTTGCCTGATGTTAAATTTTTAAAAATTGTTTTTAGAATTTAATGTTTACAAATTTTGTACCATTGTCAAAACTCATTCTTACGATTCTGAAGATAATTTCTTATTCTTTTCGATATATAAATTTTTTTAAATCGATCAAGTACTTTTCCTTTCCATTCTAAGAAAAGAAAATGCATAAACAACAGCTGTACGAGTTGGAAAACCATAAATATATTTTGCACCCTCAATGATTTTCCTCTAAGTTCACGTAGCCTTTGTCTACATCTATATAAAATATTTGACTGATTTGTTCGCTTATCTAGCATAAGTTGTCTTTTTTAAAAAAGTATTTTGTATATGTTTCATTCAATAAACATTTTTTTGACAAAAACCTTTTTATGATATTATTATAATATAAAAAGATTTCTTGTTTTGTATACTCATTCAATTTTCTTATTTCATTCTAATACAAAATCTTCTTATTTTGTGGCTTAATTACTTACTTCTATTCTCATTTATCTTTAATTTATACAATTTTTATTCAGTTTTAGTTATTCGCCAAATTTTTCTCAAATTATTGTCAAGACATCAAACGTTTTTTTCTTTAAATCAGTTTATTCAAAATTTGTGAGTTAACACAATGATTTATTTAATAGCCGCTATGTTTTCTAGTGTTTATCATAAATATGAAAACTTTCCCGCGAAGAAACGCCTAAGTGTTACTAAACATTTAAAATTTATATTAANTTTATCATGCAGATTATTATACTGATATGAATTTTGATACGTTTCATTCACGATACACTTAGTATATAAATGAAAATTGTAAGTATTAAACATTCTATAATTAATGCAAAATTATATTATATTTATTTATAAGAAATTATATATATTATAAATAAATATCGTTTGATATTTATATATATCAAACGATAATTTCATAACGATGCTCACCGGAGAATCGTATCTGTAACAAATCTAATTAACGAAAGTGCATAGAAGAGAAATAGCAGCACGTTGAATCTCAATCTAGAAAACGATTCTCTTCCTGTCTTCAGCTGCTTTCGTCTATTATTTTAACGTAATTCACGAAAGAAATGTTTGCTACAATATCTGTAATTAGTTAAATATAATTTATCTTTTATATAGGCCTTTACAAAGACAAATCACGTCAACACAATTTAAATAATTATTAAATAGTCGTAATTTTTCTAGTAATTTTCGCAATATTTTTGCATGTTACAATTTCCAATTCTTTCAGTCATAACCATTAAATCGTAAACCAAGTCAGTGATACCATAAAATCAACTGAGGAGAAGAAAGTTAAATTTACTATACTGTATATATTTTCGAAAAGAAGTCTGAACTAAAAGAAAACGAGACAGAACTTAATTAACTAGTACTTGAAACTGAACACAGACACACGAAAGCTACCATAATATTGTCGTGAACATCGAAAGATAAAAACGATAGCAAGTAAAACCTATTCTCTTGTTTTTAACGCAAAGCACATAAAAGTTGGACAACGTGTCGTCTACGATTACAGTCAGCCAAAATAAAGAAGCTAGAGAAGTCCTCGTAATACCTAGCCTTTTCTCCTTGGTTGATTCTGTCATAAATGTGAGGCGGTATCGTTAAGAGCTCATTACGTCCCTGTGTAAATCGACGATCGATAGAAAACGTTTTCTCTCTACCGCGATGACCCACTGTACATTCAAAGCTTTGAAAGAAATCTCATTTCACTATATTCAAAGTAGTAAATAGTCATATTTCTTCGAGGTAGGAAAACAGACTAAAGGTCTATTCAAATGATTAAATTTGAAGTTATTCAGAAAATAAATTACTATGAAAACTGATTCCATCATCAGCATATCTAGAGCAGAAAAATGTGAAGAATCAAAACTATGATGGAAGTTGACAAAGTTTAAAATATATTAGATTTTTCAGTATTTTCCTGAACAAATATTTTAGACGAATTATTCGAATAAATTATAAAACGAATTGTTTAAAATTAATGAGAAATAATATTCAAGCACATATTTATGTACATATACATATATAATATATAGGCATAATATATATATATATATGTATCGCACTGTAAATAGCATGATAATGTAAATAGCATATATGATGAGTTTTTATATTTATTTTAGTTGAACGAATATATATTTTTATTTAAAATTCGAAATATTTGAATATATTTTATTTGAAATTCGAGATAAAATTAGTTTTTCCTTTTTTCTACTAGTAGAAAGTAATATAGTTCGTGAATGTGATCTATTTTTATATATATAAAAAATTAAAATTTCTTAATTAGAGGAATGTTCTTTAAAACAAATTTCTATGAAAAATTCATCAAAGAATAAAAAAAATAACGAAATATATTCTTGTTTTTTGTTTTCATTATATAAATTTTTAAAAAATATTTACTTCAAAATTAATAGTAAATTAAATATATGATTTTTTCTTTAATGTTTATATTTAACATTTTTTTTATTATTCTATGAAATGTTAGTTATATATGCATAAATAATGTGTAAAAATTTAACTTGTTATGAATATTGTTTAAAAAATCTTAAAAGAATTAAATTAGATTATTTGTTAAGAATATTTTTAATTTTATACCTTTTCATATCATCGTCAACACATTTTTAAATAGACCGAAGTTTAAAAATATTCACATTTTTATTAAATTATTGGAATATACGTTATATTTATTGTAGTTAATTTTTTCTTTGTTCTACAATCAATTTTTTGGAATATAGTCTAAGTCGATATACTTATATAATAAAATTTAAAATAAACATTGAGTCATATGAATTTCCCTACACCTTTTGTAAAATTTATAAGTTTAGTAGACCTATATACATAGAATATATTCCTGATTTGAATTATTTCATATGCATTTCTTACTTTAAGAAACTCCCTAAGCTAACTTTTTTGAATTTTTATATAATCCTTATTTATAGTTCGATTTTAAATAGTTTTGAAGAAATTCTGTTAAGGAAGCACAGAATAAATTTTCTTATTTGTTTATTTAAAAATTTTTATAATGGAGACTATAAATCTAACTTTGATTTGTGGATATTTTACGCACAATGAATGATTGAGTACTATTAACGTTTTGAAAATCATATAATTTATATAAAACACGCAATGAACTTAGAAAAAAGTTAGACCTGCGATCTTTTATCAAATTTTATCATGCAGATTATTATACTGATATGAATTTTGATACGTTTCATTCACGATACACTTAGTATATAAATGAAAATTGTAAGTATTAAACATTCTATAATTAATGCAAAATTATATTATATTTATTTATAAGAAATTATATATATTATAAATAAATATCGTTTGATATTTATATATATCAAACGATAATTTCATAACGATGCTCACCGGAGAATCGTATCTGTAACAAATCTAATTAACGAAAGTGCATAGAAGAGAAATAGCAGCACGTTGAATCTCAATCTAGAAAACGATTCTCTTCCTGTCTTCAGCTGCTTTCGTCTATTATTTTAACGTAATTCACGAAAGAAATGTTTGCTACAATATCTGTAATTAGTTAAATATAATTTATCTTTTATATAGGCCTTTACAAAGACAAATCACGTCAACACAATTTAAATAATTATTAAATAGTCGTAATTTTTCTAGTAATTTTTGCAATATTTTTGCATGTTACAATTTCCAATTCTTTCAGTCATAACCATTAAATCGTAAACCAAGTCAGTGATACCATAAAATCAACTGAGGAGAAGAAAGTTAAATTTACTATACTGTATATATTTTCGAAAAGAAGTCTGAACTAAAAGAAAACGAGACAGAACTTAATTAACTAGTACTTGAAACTGAACACAGACACACGAAAGCTACCATAATATTGTCGTGAACATCGAAAGATAAAAACGATAGCAAGTAAAACCTATTCTCTTGTTTTTAACGCAAAGCACATAAAAGTTGGACAACGTGTCGTCTACGATTACAGTCAGCCAAAATAAAGAAGCTAGAGAAGTCCTCGTAATACCTAGCCTTTTCTCCTTGGTTGATTCTGTCATAAATGTGAGGCGGTATCGTTAAGAGCTCATTACGTCCCTGTGTAAATCGACGATCGATAGAAAACGTTTTCTCTCTACCGCGATGACCCACTGTACATTCAAAGCTTTGGAAGGTCATTCCAGCCTCTATCTCCTGTCATTCTATCATTCACTACCGAGCTAGTGAAGCAAAGCGAAAAACTTGGTTTGATTCATGTCATTAAATGACGAGATTGACACTTCTTTCAACTGCTTATTTAATGCCAAAGAAGTTTCGCAAGCCAAGATAAAATGTTGTGCCAATGCTATAAGTAACAAGTTGTTTGCCCTATTTCATGTTTCTGACCTAAAAAGTAATACAGTGGAAACAGGAAGATAGCTTTGTCGTCCGTGTCTTTTCTTCACTTTATCCTCAGACAGAATGAATAAACTCTTTTGTTGCTTTCATTGAAAGAAGAAACGCTCATATTTTATATAGTATAAAATACTTAGGTCTTTTTTTATAGTTTAAATATTTTTATATCTTTCTTTCAAACATTACTTTTCTAAGAATTATTCTTTTATTTTCATTTCTTGTCACTTTATACAAAAATAATGATTTATAAATATTTATATCATAGAATGCATTTTAAATACTTTTATTTAATACATTTATATACATAACATATTTATTACGTTAAAAAATTTTAAAACTATTATTACTATTATTATTTTTAATAAATGCGCAACAATTAAAAAAGTAATATTAAAAAAAACAAGAGTAGAAATTTTATAAATGTGAATCATTAAGGTTGTCCTAAATTAAAAATTATTTCATGTAAGTTCTCATTATCGGAAAATAAATGGCTTTATTAAAAGGGCAAACATCTAAAATTATGGTATTTGCACTTAGTACAATTTATTCTCATTTCCCAGAAATGATCGTATTTCCAAACTCGGTTTGAATAACATCAATCGTTAGGAATATTCAACCACAATTTATGTATGCAACAGATTAATCAAAAATATTAAAATTGTAACATAATCATTACTGACTAATTGCATTAAAAGAAATATATTTGGTTGATCGTTTCGGTAACTAGTTTATTTTGATTTTGTAAGTCTAAATTTTGGCTTTGCTTTGTTTTTAGTAACTTCAATTACACATGGATACATCAAATATGTAGACTTTATTATTGTATTCGGAAATGCTTTTCGGGTTCTATTAATAGAACCCAAAAAGAATTTCCTAATACAATAATAAAGTCAACATATTCAATTGATTGTATCCCTGTGTGATTGAAGTTATTAAAAAAAAGCCAAAATTGAGGGTTAGTAAATCAAAAATATAATTATTCATTAAAAGTAGACAGTAAACAGGTATTTATAACTTTTTTCACTTAATAGTTATCTTGGAAATTTTTTCTTTAAAATATGTCAGGATATTACATTATCTTAAGTATAAGAAGTGATACATTTAATTTAATTTAAAATATGTCTATCATACTCTTAAGTTTAAAAACTTTTATGCGGAGTGACTCGATAGCTCTTAAGTAAATGACAGAGGTATTAAACAGAATTAGTTTTTTAAAAATCTTTTTGCCATTATTTTATTTCAATATTACAGACAGAACCCGAAGAACAGTATTCGAGGATTAAAAGAGTACCAGTACCTTCAGTGCCAACAAAAAATGAATATCAACTTCCACGTAAGTAGCTTAACTTACCTCTAACCTTAATTTTAATTTAATCAAATTTTCCAGGTTTAACTATTAATATTTAATTAAAACAACATTTTAATTATATATTAATTCTTACATAATGAATTTTTCAGTTATTTATTTAAAACCTAATGTAAATAACATGTTAAACGTTTTTTAAAAGAAGATATAATACATTTATTAAATGGAAACCGTTTTCATACTGAATATTTGTTTATCGAAATTGTCGTGTTTTGGATATTAAATGAATGGTTTCTTTATGTAAAATTGTGTTCGATAGTTAATTTTCTTTCTCTGAAAAATATTGAGAGCTACTTTATACTCTGCAATCAAGTTTCAAATTTCTATATACATAGATTATAAATGATAAAGGATACAAAGTAGTAAGTTTGATTATGACGAATTATACTATTCTGTAGAAACATGCCATATGTTACTGGCAACCATATATTTGATGCTTAGAATATCGATCAAGAACAGAACATGCTGGCAGTTGCAAATAAGACCGGTTGAGCCTTTACGTTTCCAAACTTCGACTTCGAAAATCCCATTTTCTCTTAAATCCCTCATTAGAATTGGATCTTAAGACTATAGAAATCAAGTAATTTTTCAACCAAGAATTTCTCGAAGCGGAACTGAGTCGCCGGAATTTAGAAGAATTAACGAGGAAAAATACTATTTTAATTTTTGCTAATATTAATTTCGGAAGAAATTTTTTAAATTTCATATATAATCTAAAAATAAATTAATAAAAAAAATTTTTTTAAAGTCTTTAAAGATAATTTTCATTCGTTAATAATCGTAGGAATTTGATGGAATTGTATTTTAGATGGTATATGACTTTTATAAATTATTTCTATTTTTATGTCAGTACAAGATTTATCAAAACAATATTTATTGATGTTCTAATATTTCCTCTTATTGTCAACAGTACGTTTTTTCGCTTTTCAGAATTTCCTGAATATGACAAGCGCGTCAATCATTGGTTATACCAAAGGAGCAGACCTATATCAGAACCTGGTTATCCGTCGCAAGTTCCTTCTCCTTACGTTAGCAGATGGTCAGCAGGTTATAGATTGACCTCTAAAGAACGGCAGATTAGCACAATTCCTTGTGACAACGAAGGGTAAATATATTAACATAATAATTTAACCTTCTCTACAACAATATAGCATTACGGTTACTATTTATATTTATATATAAAGTGAGTATCAATAGATACTTTGAATAAATAAATTTAATAAAGAAAAATGAAAACAATCTATTAAGATTTTCACAAAAATATTTATTTTTTTTATTAATAAATTAATTCTAAAAAAAATGGAAATTGTTCGAAAATTAGTTGAGGTGTTAGAAATGCAAAACAAATCTGAAAGTTGAGTTACTTTAATAAAGCAATAACTCCCAAAAGTAGCAGTATCTGTTTAGGAATATCGGGTAAAAACGCGTGGAAAAAAGCAAATTCCGTCCTTTGGGTCGTTTTCACTAAAGGAAAGCAAACAGGAAAGTTTCTTCCTAAAACGTTTAATTTCCAGTGCTGCTATACAGAGAATGGAATATCGATCATCCGAGTCGTGAACTCTCCAACCTCTCCACATCTTCTTACTATTGGAACAGGTGAATTCCAACTCTGTTCTTAGTACAAAAACTAAACTGTTTATTTGTTTTTGGTGCTTTTAAAGTAGCTATTGAAAGTTTTCCTTGTTTTTATTTTCTCAGCTATAACTGTATTTTCCCTAAAGATGTTTGTTATTTTCTTACAAATTGTACTAAACTCATCATTAGTATTTGAACTAGCATTAACTATTCCAATTTTGAATTCTAAAACAATGTAAATTTTATATAACTAAGGCATTGCCATCATTAATATAGTAGACCTGCTTTGTGGAAGAAGAACATGTAAATTTAGGGATAATTAATGAAGATCGATAACTGGTGCTACATTCTCTTGCTACTGAAAAGGGGTTTAATATTTGATTTTGAATTTTCAAAGATTTTTGACAGGATTTCTTTGTAATATAATTATTTTAGTTATATCTCTATGTATATTTACATGTGTATTGTGTATATATTTACAAAAAATATATAATAGTTTATTTAAATGTATGTGTATGTGTATATATATAAAACCTTTCATGATGTTATCTTATTTCAAATTTATATAATTTCTAACTTTGAAAACTTATCAAAATTGTTACAGAAAAGCTTAATAATGCGCTTCAGACTAACAATAGCTTTGTTAACAAGCAAATTTAGATTAACTCGAGTAATAAGTTGATTCAATTTATTAGTAGTTTACAAGTTATCAAGGAATAAACTAAAGTTATAATGAATCATATTATCTAAATAATGTATAGATAATAGGAAAAGATTTTATTAAAATAGCAAAATAAAAATAGCTATTACATTTTTATTCATAAAATTTTTTCGTGTTTTAAAATACCATTTTCAAACACATTAAATTATTCTGCAGATTTCAAGTTATTAGAATAAGAAACGATAAAAATTTATTGAATAAATAACAATATATAAACCTACTTGATATATAATAAATTTTCGTTTACGACTGATGTTTGAAAATGCTTTAAATATTTAAATATTTTGAATATCTACATTAAGTGAAAATTCAAAATATTTACATACGTTTCCAGAATGTGTTTTACTGAAGAGGAAAGTGACTTGGAGCATATCCATTCAAAGCAAGATGATGATGAGGATGGTCACGAAATTTCTGAAGCTGAATGTGATAGAGAAATTAAAGAATTCACAGGAAAAAAGTGTAGGTTATTAAAACTATGAATAATATATTAGTTCTTTTCTAAAATCTTTTCTTCAAAATTCATTTATTTATTTTTCTTTCGATACCCAAAAGCCATAGTGTAATGTATTCTATTTTGGTTTGAATTTTTTATACAAATCAAAAAAGATACAAAATTCGATGTGAAATTCCATCCCTACTTTTTCTACTTTTACTATTCACAGATTCTTTTATTACAGATTTATGCTCAATAATATAAATATTAAAATTTCTTATACTTCATATAAAAAGTATAAAAAATACAAATTCATTCACCCCTATATATTTTTTTCCATCTACTGTAAAGAATAATAATTTCTTAAATATATTTTAAATAAATATTTATAAAGTTTTATCATAAATAAAATTAGATATTTTATTTTTTATTAAGTTTGTTTAATGATTGAGCGGTATCAAGAGCAATAAAATAATTATTAGATGGTAGTAAAGTTTTTAAATACTGAATATATTATGCATTTATGGTCATAGGCGATAGTATGAGACTCTTTGACTACTTGACCAGGTGACAAGGGCTTAAGAGTTGCCATGCCTCCTGAGTGTATTCAACATGTTGCGAATCCTGTGGCCGTCCACTAATGGATATTTAAATGACGGACGAAGACGACTACGATAGTTGAGAAATTGCAAAAATATATTCTAGTGATTTTAAACGACAATAGAAATACAGTATATATAAATATATATACATAAAAAGTTTTATATTTATTTATCCTGAATGGGGAAATGTTTTCTAGATGTACCAGGAACTGTTAGAAAAAAAATTATATTGTATGTAGATTTAAATATCTTAAGATGGGGTTTGTATGAAAATGTATCATTTTAACAAGATGTAATATTTATTTCCCTAAATGACAAATAAATTATCGCCCTTGGAACATACTCCTGCCAAAACAGTTCCCATATTTTCCTCTAATTTATATATGCATTGTGATGTTAAAAATCATTCAGGACTGTTTTTAATAATAATAATCCTCAATATTAAACTTTACCAAAGAGTATTTTAACCAGATTGTTGTAATATTTTGTTTGTAATAATAATAATTATTATTATAATTCTAACTAAAGAAAAGACTATTTAAGAAGAAACAATAAACAAATTTTAAAGCTATAATATAGCATTTGTAAGTTAGAATCAAATCAATTGTATATTAAATCTTATTGTGATTATTATATATATATATATATATATATATATTATATATATATATAAAATTGGTTGTGCCCTTTTTTGTAATTTGTTTAATATTTCAATTATTGCCTTATAAAGTTTAAAAAAATAAGATTGTTTGTCGAATTTTATGCAGTTTTTGTTATGAAAATGGAATAAATTCTTGTAAATTATTAATATTGAAGATAATGTGCTGAAACTGCTCACATCGTAAGAGACTGTGTCAAGAAGTAAATGCGTTTTATACTACATAAGCTACACTAAAATACGACATGTGTATTGTGTGACAGCAATGAAAATAGATATCGGCAAAGATAAAAAAAATATGTATTGTAGTAAACAGCTTACTAGAGTGATATGGCAACATAATAGAACAAAACGCCAAAGTATTATTAGTATAGTTTGATATATTGTATATCCAGAAACAAGTGTAATGACAACAGTTCTGATAGAAGGACAAAGTCTTTCTTACATTAAAGATTTTAAACGATTTCGGGTTTAGATTCTGAATAAGTTAAATTCAACTTTTTCAGAATAAATGTAGTTTTGTCAATAAAGGACATCATGTTGGTCAGAATTATTTGAATAAATTATTGAATTTTACCCAAATAATATTAGATTAATTTTAGTTTTTTCCTCAATTTTATTTTTCTGTAAATTTTATCGACAAAGAATCCAATTTTTGAATGTTTACTAAGACGGAATAGAAAAAACCTATATGCAAATAGAATAGAATATTGGGAGAGAAACTATCTAGTCTAAGTTTAACTTCGATATCTCATATACAGTCTTAATGTGGCGTTATACAGGGATCAGTAAAGTGATGGAGCAGGCTTGGTATTACCTGGCAGTGATGGATTGTGCAGTACAGCGATCTGACAACCGCTCCATGCTAAGCACTATCCTTTAGTAGGAGACGTTTGCCTATTTCCTTTGCAATCGTAAACAGCGGCATCCTTCGTATTTTTGCGATCAATTCTCTAAGTCGAAAACAGATTTAGTCATCTTTTCGAATAGACAGTTTCCTCTTACCGACGATGCCCGAGGTAGATTTATGTAATCTCACCTAAGACTATCGAAATATTGTTATATTCAATGTTCGTGATGTTGTGTTTAAAAAAATGCAGAAAAAATAAAATAGGATTCCCGTATCTTACCGCAAAATTTGGAGTGATAGGGGCGCATCATCAAACATAATAGAAAAGAAGTATTTCGTTCAACCGAAAGATTCTCCATTATCTGGAATGCAGTATGCTTTTTCCGGGCAGTCGCATCAAATCAAGTTTAGAGCCATTGGGAAGATAAGATACTTACTACCTTTCAAGTAGTGCTTATCAGTACAAGTCTCTAATGATAACGGTTGAATGAGCATTTTCCGGAATTCATTAGCGTTCTTAATCACTTTAAATGAATGTTATTTACGCACAGGCAAATTTGCTCTGCTAGGAACAGCCAGATCGATGTCTTGTATATCTTAACGAAGCCAACCAACGAAAAAACTTCTTTCCTTGACAAGTACCCTGATGTTGGTCTTGATGTTGAAGTCATCAATAATATTATAACTTAAGCTTCAATCAGGAATAAAATGTAAATTAATTCTGACTCAACAAGAAATATAAATTGATATAAAAGACCTATTTCTGTAAAGAGAAAATCCATTTACTAGGAAAGATATTAGAATATTTTTAATGCATTTATTTATATATAAAATTTTTTTATAAATATGTAATTTGATATTCCTGTTAGCAAAAGCATTTTGAAGAACGTTTTTTGAATATAATTACTATTAAATGAATATAAAAAAATTCGAAAAATAATGCATCCAATTACAGATTTTTTTGATAAATAAATCATGAAATAATAGTAAAAGAAAGTAATTTTGTTAGCTCTCTTTAATTATCAATTTTAAAACTTAAATGAAGACGAAAATGCCATGAAAATGTACGCAACACTGCGTACATTTTCATAAAACTCTGATGTCATTTTTAATCTTTTTTTTAACTTAACGTAAAAAATTTACTAATTATATTTTAAATTTTCCAGTTTTTTTTTGTTTTTTAAAACATTTTTGATTCTTAAAATTAAATTGATCACAAGAGCGAAAATAATAAAAATCTAAACAAATTTTATTTAACAAAATTGTAATTTATCAAAAAAACTTTTTTAAATTTTCAAGCCGTTAGTAGTTAGTGTTTTTTCAGAAGAACGATTTACATATTCTCTTAGTGAGTATTATCTATTGTTTTAAGTGACAAACGAAAAAAACGATAACAACAAAGGCAATGTCCTATCAGAAATTATGAATTCCCAGATCGATTTACTTATCTAAGATAGTTTAAGCGATTTCTTAGCGCAACATCTAACTGGGTATTTATGGACAATATGCGGTCCTTACTAGGACTGCTGATAACGGAAGATGAAACTTGGTGTAAAGTTTAAAGATAAGCAGGAGAAGTAAAGATTGGGAGGGATAATGCGCGCGCGCATCTTGTGAACCAACCAACTCCTCAGCAGTAAGCAGACGGCGTTGGGCTGATGCGGAGTGAGTGGCTTGGCTCTCGTCCCTCCGTTTAAAAAGCGATTAATAATCAACAGCAAAATGTCACTTTTAAACATAACTATCCTTTTATACCTCATCATAACTGTATATAAATTAGGTAAGTAGTTTTTAAATTAATAATAGCAACAAGTGACATAAATTTAAAATTCACTTTTATGGAAACTTTTCAACTTCGTTTTTCTCTAGATGTTTGTTATAGTTATCAAGGTCCAAAGTTCGTGCGTGAACCCCCTAACAGAGTGGTTTTCCTTAATACAACGGGGACAATTATAAGTTGCTTAGTGAAAGGTAACCCAATGCCAACAGTAACTTGGATCAAAAGAGATGATACTTTGATTAGTGACTTACCTGGTTTAAGACATGTTAAACCCGAGGGATCGCTTGTATTTCCACCATTTCAAGCAGAGGATTATAGACAAGACGTACACGATACTGTATATAAATGTTTAGCAACTAGTTCTGTTGGAAAAATTGTGAGCAGGGAAGTTCAAGTGCGAGGAGGTGAGTATGAAAAAGTTTAGTAAATTTTTTCGTATATATTAAATAGATATTTTTAAGTAAACAATTTTTATTTCTACTTATGCATTAAATTAAGCAGTTTTTCTTATTTTCAAATAATAATGTATTTTCCATTAATCATTATAATATATACAGAAAGTAATTACTTTCGTGGTAAATGATGGGACTTTCAAAACACATAGATAAACAAGATAGAAATGATAGCGCTGTAAGTTATTGATGAATAAAGGATGTTGTCTTGTCTGCCCATTCTATGAGGGGGTGTAAGAACCTTTATCCTACAGTCGTGTTCGGAGCAGCAAGTTTATAGGCAACGCCCTACGTTTAGTTAATTTTCGCCAGACCAGGCCACTGGGCGGAAACCCAGAGGGTATTTGGTTGTCACGCAAGAACCAGTAGATGAGACTGCACATGACACTAAAATAAGAGTCCAATAACTTATAATTTAATACAAAAAATTGATAAAACCAATTTAAAGTAACAGTTTTGCATGTTTCGATGACTTCGAACTACATCAATTATAGGACATTTCAATTTTCAGATTATCGAAAAGGAAGAGATTTTAATATTAATTAAGGATATTTCCAATGTTATTAAAATATAGGTTAATGTAACGGAAACCGATTATTGAGTTGATATATTGATGAGTTAAACTGCAATTGTTAAGTTATCGATTAGTTTATTAATTAATCCATCTTTAACGTATATTTCAAATACGTTTATAGATTACTTTTCAAACATCCTGTTAATTAATCGCATCAGATTAGACATTAACTTTACTACTATATTTATTTAGTATTAAAGAAGTTTAAAAAGTTATTTCTATTTTAAATGCGAAGTAATTTCTAAAATAAACTTGATTAAATTTGCATACTTTTACAGAATACGAAATTAATTTTATTTATTTAAAAATTTAAAAAGGCTCAATTTATTTTTTCCTACTTTCAATATGCTAAGATGGTACAAGATAAAAATTTTGCGGTTTACTTAAAAAGCTGGCCTATTTTTAGATTTAATGCATTTAATCCATTATTCGAGAATATTTTTGCAAAGTTTTCCATGACAACAAAGTTGGTATCTTTAGAACAGCTAGCATAATAGCCCATTATTCAAACCTTGAGGAGCGAATGAAAGTGAATACATAACCACCAGTTGGATAGTGGTGGTAATCGAAGAGGCACGTTGTAATAGAGCAGGTGGTGCAGAGAAATCAATTCTGTATAACACACACGGCTTTTCCTTCCTTTAATGGCAGTTTAGGATGAACTTGTAGTACTCAGGCTTCCCACGGGAACGTCCATCCTGACCGTGATTGGATGTGTGCTACACAAAGTAGTGCGTTGCACTAGCTATATAGATTGAAGTGTCTAGTGCAATTTCCTTCTTAAATCAGGAAGGAAGAGCCTTTGATTAGTCCTTGCTTCCAAAGTAGTTAATTCGCTACATGTTCAAAGAAGGCATTGTAACAATAGTTCCAATCTGATCAGTAATTCAAAGCGAGTAATAGTTTTTCAAAGAGGATTAAGCCCATCAAAATTCGTTTCAGGTATTGAAGACTAGTAGCATCAGGACTACTGTTTATTGATTGCAAGAGACAGTGGATTCGGCCAGTTGTCTGCTTTTGAAAGATTCCATTGGGGCTATTGAAATCCCTAGAGACGTACGTCTAATACGAGTTTGATGTAACTGGATCGACCAGGTTTCGGCCTGCCCTTATAAACGGCTTTGTCAATACGGATTTCTTATCAGTGTTCCACTCGACTTGAGCTCCCAGGACTGCGAAGGTTGGACTTAAACTGGCAATTTCTTTTTCTATCCTTTGCAGCAAGCAATCACCGTAACCCCGCGCTGTTTTGGTCCTCTAATAAGGTCTTCTCTTTTAGTCCATTCTGGTTTTCCTCCAACAATCAGCTCTCAATATAGCGGTTGGATGTTACGGTTGCACTAACTCTATTACTTATAAGAAAAAGAAGAAAATAACAGGCAACTTTAGTTAGTTGAAACACAAAAACAGCATTTAGAGGAAGGTAAAAAGAAATTTCAAAGTTAAAAAGAATTCTAAAAAGAAAATTCTGCCCATCACTCCAACTCGGTTTTAATCAGACTCATTTTATCTTTGCCTTTTTCTTCGATGCACTGAAAGTGTTTATCGCGGTTTTCACGTAATCGAATTGCAAATAGGCAGTCTAGAACCCATTAACCGATAATGGATTGACATTATCTGTGTGGTGCAGGAAAGAAAAATGGCCAGTGGTGTTGCAAACGATGCATTTTCAAACTACTAGTACTACAATATCTTACTATTTTAACTTTTCTTCCTGGTTTTTCTTTTAACAGTTGTATTACAAGATTATCAAGCCCATGTATATGACGAATTTGTCATTCGTGGCAACACGGCAGTGTTAAAATGTCAAGTTCCGGCATTCGTAAAGGAGTTCATGGTCGTGTCTTCGTGGACACGTGAGGACGGTCTAGTTATTTTGCCACGATCTAATCCAGGTAAGTGCCTCAAGAAAACTTTTCTTAAGTAAAGAGCGCTAAAAATATCTGAAATGAAATGGGAAAAAATGAAGCCACATATCTCGAAAACGTTTCGAAAATGTGTTAAAGTCTTATAGGAGATTCGCGTGAACGAGTGGTTTGCGTGCATTTCTCCATTAAGAGCAAGCAGCTATCCAACAAAATACAACAGACTGAATCACGTGATGTACCTAGCAACAGATTAGTACATTCATCATCCACCTCTTCCCAGTTGACTGAATGGTTTCCGTTCTGGAATGAAGCTGGAAATAGAATTGGACATTTTTCTCGTTTTCGACAAAGCTGGTTGATTGTCCGTTCAGTTCTATTCGAGTGATTGGTGGGCATCCCCTGTGAGCCAAAACCTATCGAGTTGTTAGAGTACAAACAACATATATATGTGATTGTTACTTGGAGTTATGATTTTGGATGCTGTACTCCATCAAAATGTATTAAACGTCTCTAGGTTCAGCTTCATAAACGCAAGATACGATTTGTTTCTTTCAAACTAATTCCCGAGTTTATACTAAGACTAGATATAAATTTCAAGTATAAATGAAACTAAATAAAAGAAATTCAAATATTTATAATAAATGATTCGTTCAGTGCGACTTAATACTTAATTCGTTGCATTGTTTCAAAAAATCTTTCTTCATAAAATATTCATCGATTTTTTTTAAAAAATTAAATGCATTTTTAAAATGTATCTGACAAAATAATTACAGAAAAAGATTTTTAAAATAATTNATTCATATATATATATATATAAAATTGGTTTAAAAATTCAGTGCTGACATTTTCTTCGTATCTTATAAGGGAAAATTTTTAATTATACAATTAATCAATAAGGGTAATCCCCTCTTTCACTTCAACACAACTCAAGGGATTAAGACGAGCTTTACTTAGTTCGTTTTGAGGTCATTGTACTGTACTTCAAACTTTACTTAAATATATGACAGTAATTATTTATTTATTTTTGTTACAAATAGTTGATTTTTTCTACAAAATTATAGGATTTAGAACTCATTTATGATATTTGCAATTGGATAAATTAAAAAGAAGGAAAGAGAGGAGGGGAAAAAAACAGAAAATTTTACTTCGAATTTTAATTCAAAACAAATATTTGAAAAAAAATTAAAAATTGTTTATTTTTCTTAAATGTTAATGCAATTTGGTATAATATTAATTGAAAATGTTATTTAAAAAATTTAAACTTTAAAGTAATAAAAAAATTTAACAAGGATAATGTAATTTTTAAAATGTACAAATGTTTGTACATTTAAAAATATATTTTCGGTACAAAATCGCTTTTAGTTAGTTAATTAAAATTTTAAATATCTTTATATAATACTGTATTATTTAAGATTAGTTGTATAGCGTTTAAATAGGAAGCGGAAAATACTAGATTAAAATTATATTTGTCAATAATTCTTTTGTAAAATGAACTATTAAATTAGTCCCACTGAGAGTTTTATGTAATCCTTAGAATAATATGAAAGGTTCTTTAGTTTTATTTACATCTCTGAAGAATTTTATATTAATTTAAAACTAATAATGTTATGGATTATTAAAAGTGTTTAATAAAATTCGGTTTATCGATAGATTCAAATGAATTTAACTTTAAAAAATTAATAATAACAACACTCTCATATAATAAGATGTATGGAGAAAGTCAACTCTAATTTAGAAATATCTTTCTAAATTTCTATCTTACTAGTAGATATTATGGATAAAAACATTCAAGAAATGTTGACCTTTTATTATGCAATTTCATAAAAAATTGATTGAAAAATATGTGGAACGTATATAAGATTTGAGAAAAAGAACTCGAAGCAAACTTGGATTAGAATGATAAACTTGGAAAAGTATCGATGTTGGAATTAAAAACGTAAGAATGTTATCTATAGCCGAATCACATTAATCCAATTCTCTATTGTGGAGGATAACTTGATGCCTAAAGCTATAAAGGCTTTTTTCTTCTATAAAAAAAGAAGGAAGTAAAGATAGAAGGGAGGTGAAATATGGTTCGAGAATATCCTTTTAGGTTGCTGCTTACGACACGCAAGAAGGATGGTATAAGCGTTATAAACTTATATATTTTGAGGACATAGTGCTTTATATTTTTATTAAGTGACTTATTATCGACTTTATGTTTTCTATACAAAGAAAAACATAAATTGAATCAAGAAATCGAATTAGTAATAAATATTTTGTAATAATTATTTACATGTTTATAATTTCTATATAAATTTCCATTACTTCGATTATTATTGTTGGATATTATGTAGAAACGTTGATGCATTCGCTACTAATTAACGTAAATTTTTATTTTCGTAAATAAAAAGTACATATGTAAATAATTAGTTTAAATTAGTGTTGCCTTTAAATTCGATTTGTCCACAAAATTTGCTAATCACTGTTGTTGTGTGCATTAATTAACTGAAATTAGAGTTTAGACTGTGCATTAACTAGTTACTGAAAATATACTAAGAAATAAATTACTCTTAAAGATGAACTTTGTATTAAAAGTAAAATAAATATTCGACGGTGTTTATCATGTTCTTAGTCATTTAATTGTTTAAATATTCTATTTTCATATGTATTTTTGAATTTTTCTCTTTTAAACTATATTAAAATCACTATAAACTTTCGTGTAATTCATTTTACAAAGTACTCTTACATCAAAAGCTTGATTTCTTCGTGATATGATTGAAGAATTTTAAAAGGATTTCTGTAACGTCATTAATCTTTATCGAACAATATCCTATTAAATATTGGAATAAAGGAACTTTCATCATCATATGTGATGCGAATTGACTCTGTTAAGTATTCAATATTTAAATAAGAAATAAATGTTAAATTTTCTTGAAATATTGCATAAGCCATTCATTTTCTTTATCTGAATAAAACTGAGTAAGATGAATTAAAAAAGTATTGAATTTTTCTTAAACTGCTTAGAGAGTAATATGCTTGATTAAGTTTACAAACTTTTTAATTAATTATTTTTTTTTACTTTAGAGCAAATATTTATATTGCATAAAAACTTTCTTTATATTGCAATGTATCCTTAAAAGTTAGATTTTTGAAATAAAAAATCGTTTTTAACGTAATTTTTAGTATTCTAGACATACTTAAATTTAAAATATGAATTTAAATTGAGTAAATAATAACAGTCATTTCTAAATAATAATTTGACACTAAGAAATTTTTTTTGCAGTTTGATGTATTTAATCATTACATAAATGTGTTCTTAATCCTACATTAATTACAATTAATTTAGGATTAAAAACACTTTTATTAGCCTCTAGATAATGCATTACATCTTTATTAATTAGCATTTCTATGTATGAGTCATTCAAGAATAATTACAATAATTTTTATTATAATATAAAGATATTATATTAAATAAATAAAATTTCTTGTTTGAATGTATATATACATTTAAATATAAAAATATAAGAAGCATTTATTGAACAAACATTCAATAATATCAAATGTATAGTTTATTACTAGTCACTGTATATAAGTATATTGTAATATAGTGTAAAATATTGAATACAATATCATGAAAATATTTTTTATTTGCTAAATACAATTTTTAACTATAGTGTTTTATATTAAATAACACTTAAAACATTTTATTAAATTTATTTTAATATAAAAGATTAAATTGGAACTCAATAATCACGTCTTTGCAAATATTGAATTATATAATATATACTGGTAAAGTTTTCAAATGTTTTTCTGTTTTGTCAACATTTAATATTTCTTTTTAATAATCGACTATTAAAGAAATAATAAAATTATTACATTAAAGATTAACAAAAACTAAATAAATTATAGATAAGTCTAGTTGTTGTTGATGAAACAATAGTTTTAGTTTATGACGATCGTTTATTTTTCTAAAATTATTTGTTTTTTTATGGCACTTTTATTATTTTCAACTTATAAAATATTAAAAACCCAAACATTTTTATGTCTAATTGTTAGTTTAAATTATGATACAATATAAATCTTTCGAATTAATTCTTCCTTCTTCTGATAAAGAACTCTTCGTTTTATATACATTAATTCAATAAAGTAATGGACGAGATAGTGATAAATTCTCTTTATTTATAAAAGATCAATAAAAGTATTGCATATTTATTATTTATAACAAATTTCAATATCTGAGTTTTGTTACAGATAGGATTATTAAAGGATATGTAGAAAAATATTAAAAGACAAAGCGTAATTACATGACTGTATGGAAAAAGACAGATGTTTGTTCTTCTTTTTAATATTATTTTATTGCCTACTTTAAACCAATTTTAACAGTTTTCATTCCTTTTCTTTAATGAAATATTTTACATTTCCGTTTTTTTTTTCTAATTTTTACAATAATTTAAATCTTTTATGTTTTAATAGATAGATTTACATCTTCTCTTCTTCCGTTTAAATATCGCATTTATGAATTCATTATTTCTTTTTTATAAAATATAATTTAAATAAATTTTACCTTTAGTTTAAGTAAGCTACATTATTAATACTACAAAATTCTATTAGAATTATAAATTATTCGTCTTCTCTTCTTTCTACACTAAACGTTTGATCAAATTCAGTCTGAGAATTAATTCAGAAATTTATGAAAATACTTTTAAAACTGAATATTAATTATGATTAAATTTTAAATTTCATAATAAGATTTGTGAATTTTAAATAAATTTCTGTTTAATCGTTTCGTTTCGTATCACTGAGGTTTTAAAGTACTTAAATATTAAAATTTTATAATTATATATATATTCTGTATATATAGAGTGGAAAAAGGAAAATAACATTTAAAATTTGTAAAGTTAATAATTATCTTTTAAATGAACTTAGAATTTTATTTAAAACGTTTTCAAAATACCTGTTTGATTGTAATTCTTTCTGACTTTTTTATATGTAAGCCTACTAAATCTGAACTTTTCAATAATCCAAACAATCTTGTGCAATTAATT